TATCTATCTATCTATCTATCTATCTATCTATCTATCTATCTATCTATATCTGTCTGTCTGTCTGTCTGTCTGTCTGTCTATCTATCTATCTATCTATCTATCTATCTATATCTATCTATCTATCTATCATCTATCTATCTATCTATCTATCTATCTATCTATCTATCTATCTATCTATCTATCTCAATCTCTATATCTATCTCAATCTATCTATCTATCATCAACTATCTATTATCTATCTATGTCAATCTCTATATCTATCTATCTGTCTGTCTGTCTGTCTATCTATCTATCTATCTATCTGTAAAATTAGAAATTCAAACAAAAAAAAAAACAATTATAATGTGACAGGGGTGAAAAGCAGCTTGGGATGAGGTCTGCCAAAATCAAGTTGGAATTAAAACTGTGGAAGTTGTAGCAGCTGAGACCACGTGAATAAGATATTCCAGACTTGGACAAAAATTGAACTTTTGATAATCACGTTTAAAGCGCTTTACATTAGGTTTAAAGCGGTTGTTTGCAGGCGTGACATTACCATCCAAACTAAAAACAAAATCATTTAGGGGGTAAGAGGTAAAACTATGGACAAAGTTGTATGATTTGACGTGAGGCTCTTAACTTCATTAGTGAACTGAACCCAGGCATCACCCTCTCCAAAGATTTTGCTAACATCACTTACGGAACTGAGCAGTAAGAAGCAATAAGATGAAGAAGCGTGGGAAAACTCCGATCGGATGCTTCCAGTGTAATGGCTAGGAAAAAAAATTTAAAAATATATAATAAGAGGATATTAAAACACTAGCTCGATACCCGTGCTTTGCTATGAAACTATGTGGTCGGGCTTAGTTTTTGGGGAGGAAAAAAAGGGGGAAAAAATTCTGCCTCTGCCTACCACCATCCATCAGTGTTCATCTGGCTAGCGTCCTGTCAGTGTGTGAGAGAGTTGAGGGCTGTTTGGAAACTGAAAGAATATTTGCTTTTTGAGCAAGAAGGAGACAGCAAGGAGCCTGGGCGTGGCTTAGCTCAACTGTTCTGTACTAAAGCTGCTTGGTGCTCTGAAATTGAACCTCCTCTCCTCTGCTTGTGTTTTGCATTTAGAAGAGATTTCATTCCAGGTGGGGAGGGGGAGTAGAACTCCTTAGAATCAGAGCATGTTAATAATAAGAATATAGGAAATACTAATGTTCTGATAGTCATTTTGAAAAATCCTTTCTTAGTGAGCCCTTAGAAGTCAAGAGGAACATATGTGCCAAATTTCAAGTTTGTAGGCTTTACGGTTCTGGAGATTTTGTGATGATGCGTGAGTGGTATTTCACAT